GAGGAATGCATATAGGATATTGGTGGGAAAGCCAGAAGGAAAGAGACCACTGGGAAGACCAAGGCATAGGTGGGTGGACACTATTAGAATGGATCTTAGAGAGATAGGATGGGATGGTATGGATTGGATAGATCTGGCTCAGGATAGATACCAGTGGAGGGCTCTTGTGAACACGGTGATGAACCTTCGGGTTCCATGAAATGCTGGGAAATTCTTGAGTGGCTACAGAATCGGTGGCTCCTCCAGAAGGGCTCAGCTCCATGAGTAAGTAAGTAAGTAGTAATTTTGACTATCCTTCATCTAACCATTCAGTTCATCATAACATGGTCTCTCTGGCTGAAATTTTGCTATTCTCTCTAATAGTTTCCCAGTCTTTAGTAACATCCACCTAAGTGTCCAAGTTTTCCAAAGCTGCAAACCTGTTTGAGATTTCAACCTGATACTGGTTTTTACTTTCTGCCTCGTTTAATTTCTTGAGATTGAACCTCTCCATATGAAATCTGAACGTTGTTTGTTTATTCACTGCTGGTCTCTTCCTCTCTGTTGCCACCACCAGATAGTGGTCCGTATCACAATCTGCTGGCCTGAACAATCAGACTTCATCTACACTTGAATGCCATCTCCTGTCTCTCAAAATGTGGACAGTTTGATTGTGAGTCTTTCCAGCAGGAGATGTCCAAGCAAATTTATGAATGTTACAATTTGGGGACATTGTGCATTGGCCTATAAAATTCTAAAACTTTTGATTCCACATAATCAGATACATTTTTTACTTTACTAGCTTGGGACATCATTTGCCCGTCTGGAGTTGTTGTAGAAGGGGGAGACACCTGAAGGCCCCAGTATCATTACAAAAATTTCTTTGTTGAAAATATGTGCTTATAGAACCATGAATAGTCAAGCCACCATTCGGAGGAAACGTCCTTGATGGAACATTTCACATGCCTTGTCATATTTAATATAGCATATTGTGATGTTTTGGTTGTATAACATGACAAATAACTTCACGCCGTGTTGGATATAGCGAATTTATTGAACACTTGCTTTCACAGTTACACAGTGTCTACTGAGGTTGGCTCTTCTTCTTCTTCTAGACGTGCCCCCATCTCTTGGCAGGCCATCATCTCATCTTCTAGCTGCGCCTCCGTCATTTCTCGACAGGCCATCGTCCCCATGTCTCTGTCCAGTTTGGTTTCGGCCACCATCTCCTTGTGGCTGGCGCCTGTCCCTTTTTGCATTGTGGCCATTTCTTCTCGCCAGGTTTTCATTTCTGCAGCCATCTTTTCTCTCCAGGCTTTTGTGTCAGCATCCACCTTTTCTCGCCAGGCTTTCCTATCAGCCATCATTTGTTCTTAGCCAGCTAACAGACGTTCTGTCATCTGTTGTATGTCCATTTTTGTAGGGCAGTGCTATAAATACACACTTCAGTCTTCAGTTCAATAATCACTTCAGCTGATGAACTCCGAGGAAATTGTGACGTGATTAAGTTCATAGACACTTCTGACACCAAATTGTCACGTGTTGAGTAGGTCACGCGACAGATAACTTCACGCCATCTTGAATATGGCGAATTTATTCCACATTCGCTCTTACACTTATACACTACACAATTACACGATTACTGCCATACTGCAGTATCACAAATACTTCTCCTGCTCTCGGCGACTTCATGATCTGCACTCTGTCACTCCTGATCACACACTCTGCTCTCACACTGCTCACATACTGCTCTGCCAGCTTTTTATACCATTCCCTGTTGCCTCGTTATACCAGCAGTGTCCCCTTGTTACATCACAGTGGGAAGTGCTGTTATGTCACTGGGGGGGGAGGGGGATGGAGTGTTGAGTGGCCTGTTACCATAACAGTGGCAGTTGCTCTGATGTTGTTACGTCACCGCGGCAGTGGTTGTCTGACACAGTTACTCTCCTGTTACATCACTGCAGGAAGGAATGTTTACCAAGCGTTGCGTAATGATGGAAGGAGTGAGGGTATGTGACATCACTCACAAGACCACAGAGTTTACGTAACCCCTACTTCCTGTAAAGCCACCCTTTGGAGGAAGCATCCTTGATGGAACATTTCACATGTTTTGTCATATTCAATATAGCATATGATACGCCATCAGCTCTTTGGATTTGACTTCTTCCCACCCAACCCTAACAATGTTTTTTAAGGCAGAGAGTCATTTATTTTATGTTTACATATTTGTTAGCTTAGCAGTTATTTCTCTAAACAAAGTTGCACTAAGAAATATATATATAAAATTCATGTGGAGGTGGTTAATAACCAGATGAGTCACAAAATGTTATCTTATAAAAATCATGGTCATTTTCATTACAGAGAACCCATTATCATCGTGTTCATCATCGTAACCACCACCACCTCATCCTCCTCCATTTGCACTTGCCTGACCATCATCAGAATCACTACCACTGTCTCTCAAAACAGGCCCAGTTATTTATGCATCAGGGCCATTCCACTCACTTATATCGGTATCCGAATCCTGATTAAATTCACTGAAAGAATCAGAGTCAACATGCAGTACACAGATCTCTTTGCTGTCCAGCACACACCCACTGGAAGATGCCATTGTGATATAACTACTGAGAAAAGACTATGTAGACTCTTTGCAAAATCTGTTACAAAGTTCACAGAAGTATTACAGTGAATGAAAGGTTAACACTACTACATACAGGAAAGCTTGAATGATACACTGACACTGTTTGCCTCCTCCATACTGACTCCAGATCATGTATAACATTTGTACAACATGTGGCAGACTGAGACCGACATGGGACCGAAACTTGGAATTTTCATTGGTAGACCCAATCCAACATAGGATAGCAAAGGGTTAGATAGTCTCTTCACTCTTTCAAATTCATCAGAACAGTGAACTATATTTAGCCAGCCTGTCAGGAATGTTAAATGTATCATACAGCATACTTGAGGTGGTCACATCTGGTCATGTTACCCACCTTTATAGAAATAAAGTTTGTATGCCCTTTTGAGAAGATGGCTGAAATCTTGCCCTTCAGATTAAAAAATTTAACTTTCAGTACATGTAACAGAAACCGTATGTATTGTAACGTGTTTCGTTACTGAAGATGCCATAGAGATCGTTAATTGGTTTATTCAACAATCTACAAGAACCGGCTACAATTAATTATCACACAGTTGCGGGGTTTCACACTTTATAACCCTAATCGCATTAATCTGTTAACACTGTTGCGGGGTTTCACGATTTATAACCCTATGCGCAAACCAGTTCACTCTGCCTTCAGTGGTCTACACGTTGACAGTAGGGGAGCTATGTATCACTGTATCACACGCTCCCAATTACACAATCACACACACGTTCGGTTCTTCTTTCCGCGACGGCTGCTATACTCCAACGATAGTCTGCTCACTGGAGAACTGTTGATAACACACTCGGCGACTGTTACTTTACAACTCGGTGGCTGTCACAGTACAACTGACTGGTAGCTGCTGTGCAGTTCCCTTATATAGCCGCAGTGGTGCCTGTTGCGTTCCACGTCACAGTAGGAAGTTGATTACGGGTACGTAGTGTTGCGCGTTACGTCACCGCGGAAGGGAGGGAGGGAGCGCTACGTTACCGCCACGCGCCTGTGGCCTGAGTTGCCACGTTGCTGCTGGGTAGGGAGGGGTTCTCCGTTGCGCAACATGTTACAGTATGGTTGGAACACAGCTCCCTGGCATGAAACAGTGGCCATGATTCATGCAAAAAAAATATGAGACGTTTACAGGATACTAATATATAAGAAAACCCACAGTTAAAACACACAAGTGTTCACTGAGCAATAAATGTCAAGTGGACAGCAAGTGGAAGTCAACATGTAAGATGTGGAACAAAATTAAACAAGTGTGGAAGTGTCCTAAACATGTACACCCCAAAGTTTTAACATTAAGTCAGAAGGCAAATTGGCACATGTAGCCATCATTGTTGACACACCTGAAATCCACTCACTCACTCAACACTGACCCACTCACCAGGCACTGAATATAGCATAATGAATTACTTCTAATTATACCTGTTGTACACATGCATCTAACTTATATTCTAGAGTCATTATTCTTCTAGCTCTTTTCGTGCTAATGTCATTACATCTGTACTTTGAGGCCGTGTTTCAGGATAGTACAGAACTTTATAAAAAAGAGGAAGGTTGTTTCTGAGTTTGTGAAGGGTGCATTGAGCTATCTGACCCAGGTGTACTCACAGCGAGTTTGCATCACTGCGATGCTAGTGGGTGTGAGTGCATTGCGATCTCAGTTGCACACAGATCTGGAACATTAGATTTGCACATGTGCTCAGTTGACCCATTTATAATTGAAACTCAACCCATGTCATATAAAATGGGTATCTAAATATAAATCTTGTATAATCAAAACTGTGTTACCCAAAGTCAGTCAAATGTGTCATTTCAAAGATACCATGAATCTTTCAGCCATAACAGCTTCTTATTCTAGCTGTTCATTATGTTTCAAAAAACTTCAAATACTGCTTGAATTATCACTCATTATTAGTATTATTTTAATGAAAACCAGTTGATAATTATATTATATTTTAGCTGGTATAGTGTGTTGGATAAGTTTCATATCTATGGTCTCGTGTGAGTAATTGTAATTGGAATGATTAAAATACCTGTTATAGAAAAGTAATTTATAACCTTCTGATTTAGTTACTTCAACATGAATTCTTATTTCACTGACCTCCGATTGTTTTAAATAAACATGTTGTTTCTATAATCATGTACTGTTATTAGGTTTCTATGGAGGAAATAGTGGTGGAGGTGGCTATGGAGGCTCCTACTCAGGTGGAAGTGGTGGCAGTGCAGGTCCTGACTGGTGGGGTAATTAAATGCATCTCACCTGTGGCTGAACTGCCACTCAAGTTACCAGCTTGAGTCAACCCATGGAAATGTAGCCAAGCGAAGTTCACATTACATAAACCCTGCATTCTTGGAACATACATGGTCTATATGTTTATTCAGATGGCTAAGCCACATAGCAAAATGAAAGCTCATCAAACAGCCATTTACTTGGTTGATTTTGGAACATAATACTTATTACTACTTCATGAGAGAAACTTAACTATAAAAGCAACACTGCAGTTTGTGAAGCTTATGGCTATTCCTTTTTCCTCTGTGTCTCTTATGTCACTAAATGCGCATGAAATTGTCTCTTTAGTTGATGCAGTTTATGCTGAAATAAGTTGTTCCTTCCTGCACCTGGTAACATTATGAGTACTAGTAGTTGTAAATTTTCTTAGTCTTGATCAATATGTCATTCTTACACAGATGAGTGAGGATCTCTTTTAATTCCCCTCAGTCCTGATTATTTTAAAATTCTACCTAAACAACTTATTTGGATTCAATATATCATTAAAGTAATGTTTGGTGAAAAATGTAGTAGTGCTCAGGAGCTAAGTTCTGCATTTTGTAAAGAGCAGCAGCCCCTGCCTGCTTGCAGAATAAATAGAGTAGTAATATGGAAATGTGAAATGTTGGTGATTGAACATTGAAGAAGTCATGTCTTAATAAATAAGGTTAAAAGCTGGGGGGTGACCAGCTAGGTGTCTTCAGAAATGTGAGCATTGAGTGTTAGAGCTTTTCACATTAAAATATCTTTGTGAGTAGAGATATCAGACATTCATTCAAGGTTGGATGGACTCTTGAGATGTAGGTATTCAAATGACAATGAGGAGACTTCTCTTGAACAGTAAAAATAAGGATAAATACACAAAGATTAATGTACAAAGACCCCTGTGTTAATAGAACAGGTAATTTTTTAAATAAGACTTGAATATGAGTTCATCCTTTTGAAGTTAACAGAGTTAATTCTGAGTAACTGAAAATTGAAAATGAATTCATAGATAATCAGACTTAAGATGTTTGTCATGACCTTTGAGCAGAGTTGAGATTGCATCTCACCTTGCTGCCTTGCTGCTGTTGAGGTTATTTGCATCTCTACTATGATGGCCAGAGGCTAACTAGAGAGAGAGGAAATGTAAATGATTTATGTAGTGTCACCAAATATAATACTCGATAAAATGATGGACTTTGAAGGGTGTGAAAAGTTTGGGGTACAGATACAGCGTGAATAGGATAGAAAAAGCAAGGGCCCTACAAAAAACTGAAGCTTTAAATACACTACATTTCCTATTTATACATATGGTATTTTTATGTGCAATAAATATAGGAAGAAAAATGCCAAGTATTTTTTTTTATCATGTGTGATGCAGTTGAATCTCATATCTAATAACGTGCATAAAGATCTTTTTAAAACACTCAGTCAACACATCGTTCTACAAAACGGGTTTTCACAGATATCTAGTTGTGAAAAGGGGAGGGAAAGGAGTATGTGGCATACATAGCCATTTCATTGCCATGCTTTATTGTATTATAGAAAAACGCACTGATAAGCAAGTCAGACCCCAGGAAAAGTATAGTACAATACACGTTTTCAGTTTCTGTGGTGCTGCTGGCATTCTTCATGGTATGAAGGAAGTAGCATCTTATTGCCTAATAAAGCTAATGAAAACTAATTTATTTCATAATTTTTTCCTGTTAAATGTAATAATAAGACCTACGTGTGTACATTTCGAAACCAAGACTTTGGTTCCGTTAGGTAGCCTATACTAGGCATCCTTACAATATTCAATCTTACAAAGTTAAAATGTAACAAAGGGTAAGGAACACTGCTTCTGTGTGTTGTGACAAGGAGGAGGGTATTGCTTGATGACTTTAATGCTTAAGCTCTTGAACAGATATTTTATGAAAGAAAATTAGGATTTGCAGTGAATAAAGTGCTTGAAAAATACAAATTGATGCCTTAGAAATCTGCAGAAAATATTGTTTGGGAAATGAATTTGAATTCATAGTCAGCAGTGTGTATTTTGAAATATTTTAATTGGTATGAGATACTGTAGATACACTCAGTTGGACCTAACCTCAAAAATGTATATAAAGGTTATTTTTAGAAGCTGTTGGTAGAATTGTGAAATTGCAAAATCATTTCATTTTCCGCTCAGAATATGTATTAATATATCATACTGAGAGATTAAGTGCTGTAGTGCCCTTACTTACCTCAACAATTAATTCTTCATTAGTAATGGCAGTGGGTATTTGTACCTAGGTAAATAATCAGCAAAGTAATTTTTAAAGAATGTGTGTGCCAGTTACATTTTTCAGCTCTGGCTGTTGGCATGTGTAGAAGTTACTGTGTTGCTTAAAAGCGGTGCTAGAGCAATTTAATGTTTTGAGATTAGGACTGATGTTGAGATTGTATCTTGGTACATATGGAAATCATGGCCCCTTTCAAATAATTTTAGAGTGCAGAGCAAGGCAGAAGTTTGACACACGCCAGTACCCCAAGCAAATTGTTTTCACGCCAAAAAAATATGTATTAAATAAATTATATACAAATCTAAATAGTGAAGGTAATAGGCATTCAGGGGGCTGTTGCATTTTCACTCTTTCCTGTGTTTGGGCACAGTTGTGAAATAAACACGTGTTATCCGATTTATGTTCATTCATTGTTAATCATAAAAACAACTTTTCTTCGTTCATTAATCTTAGTATTCACATAATGGTTGATTAACTAGTTTAAGGAAGCAAAAAAATATATATTGAAATTGTATGATGCTTAACTGTAGGTGACTAGAAATTTGTGGCTTCATAAAAAGTGGGTATGTTTCGAAGTGTAAATTGACTTGGTTAATTGGGTCTCCAGTTTTACACTGTTGATTATCAGGAATGTTTGAGCAAGGTTATATATATATATATAATTTTAATTTGCAGTGGTGTTGGTTGGGATGTATGAATTCTTGAAGACAAAAGTGAGTAGTTTTGAATTAATTAATTTGAGATAAATGCCTTTTGTGTGTAAAAATTGCTGGAATTTAAGATTTTGTATGGATCTACAGGCAAATTGAAAGAACATTTTTCACTTCTGAAATTTTCAAATATCTAACTTAGTTATTATTTAGGACTTTTATTCTTATGTGTGAATATATATATATGTGTGTGTGTTTTGTACACACCCAGACACGCATGCACAAGATTGTCTGCCATTTGTGAGCTTGCAAATGCCCCTACAATTGAACATTTGCTGTATTGAAGAGGGGAGTAGAGGGTTCCATGTGGAAGTCATATGTTTGATATTGTCCACCACTTCCACCCTCTCAAATTATAAATTAATGAATATTTAAAGTAGAAGGGTTATTTACTGCCAGAAACTGTATAAAATGCATCCATTCAACAAGACAAGATCTGAAATGTGGTTTCAGATTCCACTGTACATATTACAGCTTTGGGATTAAGAGCATGCACACAACACCCATACATTTTGTACAGTTGTTTTAATCTCCATTTCTTATTATATCATGTTTTTGAATGGTTATAGTATGAAGCCAGTGATAACTTATTGGTACATGGTTTTGTGAATATGTTCTTCTGATGTTAGGACCTTATTAACCAAGTGCATTTGTTAGTGAAGAGTTGAGTCATGTTAGGATATCTGATTTTGAACTGATCAGAGGGCCTGACCTACCACCATATATGTGTATTTTTTTATAAGCCTCTGGGCTCAATATGATTGAATCTATAGCACAAATTTAGCTTTGCAATCATCATATTTCTGCAAGTGTGATTTGCCAGAAAAGGGGTGGGTGAAATCTAATTACAGTGAATGAGTGTATATCTCATTTTACAGACAATCATATGTATGAAATATTCTGTAGTTAACACATTAATAATAATAATACTTTTTGGACAGGAGTGAGTATTTAGTGGCTGATTTTCAGTTTTTGCAGGAGATTATTGTATTTCTTGTACCATCAGATTCTTTATTGAGTTCAGTGGATTATAAGACTTTCAGATACTGAGTGTATGAAATGCATTCTCTAAGCATTCTTTTGGAGCTTTGTTAGAATATTTACTGTGCTGTGGTCCACTTCATGCTGTATGACCACATCCATGTGACAAGACCTTTCACAACATTTATTTCTTGGAAGGTACTGACTTAGCAGCAAGGGAAACTTTCTGTATAATAATTTACAGGACATTCACAAGACTGCTAATATATTAACACTGACACAGATAACACAGACATCACCAGAAGGCTGCAGTAAAAAGCTTTGAACTTAATTTGTGCACATTGCATTCTGGACTGCTGAGTTGGAACTGGTGGTATGGAAGGTTTGACTGCTAATGGCATATTTATATGGTTAAAGTAAGTGCAAATTAATACTTCAGACTTTGAATGTATTCAAGTACATGCATAAGCCTATAGCACTGAAATTGGCAGTGATTTGTTAGTTTGTGTTATATATTGAATTCATTGCTGTTATGCCATGTTGGATGTTACTATGACCTAACCCATAGAGAGGGTATGTTTATTCAGTTTCTCCTGTTTGAGTGTAGAACAAATTCCTTTGAAATGTTGCTTTACGAAACTCATGATTAGATTTTAACTGCAGATGTAGTTCTGTTTATAGGCTGTGACAGGTTTGAGATTAAAGTGGTTTCTTATGGATGTTCTGTATGTTTGTAGGGCACTCTTATGGTGTCATTGATGATGATAATGTAGCAGTATTACTACATTCGGTCATACATGACTTTGTCACAAGTATATTTGTTAGTGAGTACTGGAATTATTTTCTAAAGGATGCTTCCATCATTCAGAACACATGGATGTATGTGCATGAAGAGAAACAAACTGACGTCCACGTTTTTTAAATTTTGAGGTAATGAAATTGAAGTAAGAACTGCTGCAAGTAGTGTTTACAAGAATCAAGAATGTGCTTAATTATACAAATTGTTGTCAAACTATTTCCAGCTATACACTATTGCCCCAATATAGATTAGATATAAAAACACATTGTTCACCAAGAATTTTCTGATGAACAAATCTGCAGCTACACAGTACCGATTTTCATTTCATCTCCTCTCATACACATGTTCCATGGAAGAAAAAAGTTTCCCCATCGTGTCTTGTATGTAAAGAGGAATATGGTTTACACTTTCTGAGAAATCTCTATTGATAATGGGGACCTCTTTAAGGAGGATATTAGTTTTTTATTGAAACAGAGAAGTCAAGCTGTGAATAAAGTTAGAATTCCTCATTTATGTGATCATGATTCTCTAAGGAACTGGCTGCTGTGTTGTTGCTAGTCATACCTTCAACATTTCAACATTGGTGATATTTACTCAGAGTATCTTAGTCTGGAACATGTTAAAATGTGTGAGCTAAATGCTGAAAATTTTACCAAGTAACATGCCTAATCCATTAGGGGCTCTGATTATGGAGGTGTGCAGTTCCTTTAAGTGTAACTATAGAATGTAGCTTTACTGTGATTATTATTACAGTTTTAAGATAACTATGCGTGATGGGAAAGGTCTCTGAAGTCAGTGTTTTAGTTCAAAATTTTGAACTAGCACCTGTAAGGTGTTTGCTAGTATATAACATTGTGTGACTATTTCATACAGAAAATTCATGATTCTGCATCAAGTCTTGTTCATTCTTGTGGATTCCCCCCATTGTCATTTTCCCTTTTTGCCGTCCCTGTTTCCAGTTCTACAAAAATCAAGGTGAAAAGAAAATGTATAATGTATTGGCAGATTCTGTGAGCTTAATAGTTAGGCAATCCTCACATGCCAGGGTGAAGTTATGAAGATACAGGAATGCTACAGTGTAGAGTAGTGGTCATTTACAAGAATTATACCTACCTTAGGATAAGAAATTGTTAAAAATAAATGTGAATACTGCCAATGTAAGATGCTTATTTGACGCTTGACATGAAGTTTCTTCATCGCCAAGAATAAAGGAAAAGAAATAATGTTGGTGACCGTATTTCAAAACAGTATTTTTTGAGCTTCTTGATCTCAGAAACAATTCCCTATTGTGCCGGGATAAATCAATGGAAATAGTTTACACCCACAATATTTTAAACTCCTTTGTATTCCAAGAGATATTAAAATTGTTGTGTCAGTTGACATTGTAAAACTGATGTTCTAGTATGAACAATATCTGCAACTTTCAGTGATTTGTTGTCAAGTATGTATACCATGGGCTGTTTGTGAATTGCAGATTATAGTCAGATTTCTCACTTTCTTTAAAATTTATGTGAAAGTTTTTCTTTATATCATTTTTTTTTGTCACTGTTGTATACTTATTCATAAACAAAGGTCATGTACTTGAACATGCTTTAATTTACTCATGGTATAGATGCATAATAGATGGCAATAATAGAAGTTCAGATTATTTTTGTAGGAAAACTGACAGGTCTCTGACATATGTTCACTCTCTTCCATGATCATATTCTCATGTTTAATTTGAAGAATATCCATTTCCACAGTGCAAATCAGATACAGAGTCTTCTAGTCCACGTACTCAGTGTTTGAATCAATTGAGCCTCAAATAAGGGGGGGGGTGATATATAAGATATCTTGTCTGAAACATATTTGATGATACAAGATACCTTGAGTAGGCAGCTTTATGGAAGACAAGTTCTCTGTGTTCAGCAAAATCTCCAGTATCATTATTTTGTTTTCCATCATATGTTGAAAACAGAATATAGTAAATTTTCATTATGACATAACAATCTGTCACAATCTTATGATGCACCATCAAAGGTGCTTCAGACAACACACAAACAGTAATGATAATATTATTAATAGTTCCTGCCAGTTGATTTCAGAAACAGATGACCTGTCTACTGCATTTCTGCCATATATTTGAATATTTTGGGATTGGCCTCATATGGTAGTCATATATTCTATGTCTTATGTAGAATGGAATGAGGACGTTTGCTATGTGCTTAGATGTAAATGTGATGTTTTAATGCTTAATCAATAATGATTATAAACATGGACACATTCCCGGCACACACAAATGTTTCTGACTACTATTTTCACATAAAGCACACTGTTTCCAGTCATTCTTTGGGGTGCTGCTAATCATTCCAGAGCACCAGTGAAGCATCTGTAATATTGCTGAAAATGATGTATGCAGTTACAGAATTCTTTTATGTCGAAGCATAGAATGGAAGTGTGCCCTTCATTGGGTTGCACATAGCTAGCATTTTTGACAAATGTAATTGCTTATTGTGTTCTGGTATTGATGAATGCTGAGATTTTAAGAAACCCTGTGATTAAAAGTGAATAATGCTCAAAGAATAGTGTGCTCGATTTAAAATGAACTTTAGCAAGAAGCAACAATATGCTGGGTTGCAGTTACAGTGTCTAGAAAGTTTTCTGTTAAATGCAAGATTCTGCTCTCTTCCATGAGGATGTAAGGTTGTTCACATTGGTTGTTTGGGGGAGGGGCTCCTATTGCAGAATTGCAGTTTGGGCCTATGGAGTGCAATATACAACTCTTTTGATAACTATACCAAACAGTTTCTTAACACTTCAGTGCCAATGAGACGTGAACAGCAAAGTATGATGATGAAAACTGACAGAGTGGCGTCACAGGTACATCATATGAAGAAATGTGCATGTGCACGTTTGAGGTACTTGAAGCAGTTGATGTGACTGGGTGCTTTTTGTTATATGAATATTCCAAGCTAATGATTCATCACTTCCCATAGCCACTGCCAGAGAATGGTTGGTCTATTGTATATTGTATAGAATAAACGTGTACATGTGTGACTGATTATAGCGTGTGTGTGACTGATTGTCATGTGCAAGAGAAAATAAGTTATTTTAAAAGAAAAATGTGTGAGTTTTTTAATAATACAAAAATGTAAAGTGAAATCTTTCATAAATTCTGTATACAGGGGGGGGGGGGGGGTTCCCTTGAGGTATATGCAACCAGAGGGGGAAAAGGGAGAAGTTATCCTGTGTACCTGTGATAGTCACGTTATGAACACAGTCCAATGAAACTTATTCAGTTCTTCTGTAATTTATATTTCTTGTCCTTTAACTTATTTTTGTATATGGAATTCTTTTTTAAAGGATAGAAAAATTTGGTGGTATTTTAGGTCATTCCGTGAAGCCGTCAGGTTTTGAGTTCCACATTTTCTTGAGTTTTTGGCCAGAAATTATACTGAAAAAGAGCTGTGACTGCAAATCAGTAAACAAAACAATATGTTCACCACATCAGCTTCTGTGTTGATGAGAGGGATGGCAAAAATAACTATAAACAGAAAGTAACTCCTTTTCTCAACAATTCAACAATTATTGCATTTACAACAATACAATTATTGTCTCCTTGTTTATTTGTAGTAGTATTATTGTAAGTTTTGAGAAATGACATGAATTAAAAAACATAAAGAGTTATTAAGAAGTGTTTTAACTGTAGTTGTAAAATCTTAACATTGTGTATGATATGCTGAAAGAAGAGTGCCTTGATGCCGCTCTTGAAGAGCGTTAGGAACTGGAAGAGTTGTGCAAAAACACTGGCTTTGAGAAGTTAAAGTTAATTAGTGAAAGTCTCATTTGAGTTGCACAACCATTTCTAGGTTCAGAAAAATCGAAGGGCCCTGAACAAAATGCATTTATGAATCATTGACTGAACTAACATTCCTCCCACTGCCAGACAGAGAAGAAGAGTAATGTTGATGCTATGAAAAACAAGGATCCTGTCTGGGCCACCCACAAATTACATGACATGGCATGGTATCAAGTAATTGTGTGTCATTCTTTCTCCATTGGTGGTATGGCCCATATGTCAGTTGTAGTCTTGTATGTTTCTTCTTCTTCTTATAGGATTTCAGTGATTGCCACAGAATAGCGAGGGGAAGTCAATAATTTTCCGCAATGCAGTTGTATTTGTGTTTCTGTTGGCAACACTGTCATTTTGTGCAGCATCGCCATGTGTGGTTTCCTTGTCATTATTTCTGCGCAGGTTTGATGTTGCTAGGTCAGTTCCATCGTTGCTGCCTTGCCATTAATCATGGCTGCTCCGCTTTCTGTTTGCACCAAAGAAGAGAAACGCTCAGTTATCCGGTTTTTGTGGTCGGAAGGTGTATCAGGGACCGCAATCCATCAAAGACTTTCAGCACAATACGGGAACTGTTTTGCCGCAATGGAGTGTCTACGAATGGATTGAAAAATTAAAAAATGGTCGCACAAGTGTTACGCATGAGGAAGGAGCCGGACGACCATCCACGGCCACAAATAAGGACAACATTGAGCGTGCACGTGACATGGTTCTGTTAGACAGACGAGTGACTATTGATGAAGTGGCAAATCATCTGCAAATTAGTCATGGTTCTGCCTACGAAATCATCCACAACAGACCTTGGTTTCATAAAGTCTGTGCAAGATGGGTCCCAAAACAACTCAGTGTTGCATAAACAAACGTGCTTGGACATCTGCCAACAAAATTTGGATCGCTATGGTAACGAACGTGACGTATTCTTAGACAGAATCATCACTGGTGACGAAAAATGGATCCATCATTGCGAGCCGGAGAGTAAACGGCAGAGTATGGAATGGAAACATCCACGATCGCCCAGCAAGAAAAAGTTCAAAAGCCAACCATCAGCAGGAAAACTGATGCTTACAGATTTTTGGGACTCACAAGGCCCAGTACTGGAACATTATCAGGAGAGGGGCACAACAATAAACAGTGCTCGTTACAGTCAGATGCTTACTGACAGGCTAAAGCCTGCAATTCGAAGCAAACGCCGAGGACTACTATCGAAAGGTGTTGTGTTGTTGCACGACAGTGCCTGTCCACATACTGCTGCCCACACTGCTGAAACCCTCCAGAAACTCAAGTTTGATGTAATGGCTCATCCTCCGTATAGTCCTGATCTCGCCCCTTCTGACTACCACTTGTTTGGTCCACTCAAAGAGGCATTGAGCGGCCATCGATTCACCTCGGACCAATAAGTGAAGGAAACGGTGCATGCGTGGCTCGCTGCTCAGTCGAAAACCTTCTCTTCTGAGGGCATCAGGAAGCTTGTGCAATGATGGACCAAGTGCATTGAAAAGCAAGGGGACTACGATGGGGTACCCAAAAGAAACCGAACTAATTTTTTTGTGGGCAGAGCTTTTGTAGTACCGCGTTTTGCCACTATGAGCGCATAGAGCTAACATTCCTGAGTTGATAAGCCGACAACCGTTGCTTCAGAAGGTAAGGACTAGTTTCGGCAGAGTTTATAGTGACAACTGTTTTGTGTGATTGTCGTTTTTGCAATGGCTGATTTTCGTGAACAGCGTGCGGCATTGAAATTCTGCTTTTTGCTCGGGAAAAGTGGAACAGACTCTTGAAATGTTAAAAACGGCGTACAAGGACGATGCTATGGGGAAAACTCAAGTGTTTGAGTGGTTTTCCCGTTTCAAAAATTGTGAAATGTCAATCGATGACAAACCTCGTTCTGGTCGTCCTTCCACGGCCCGAACACATGAAAATGTTGAAAAAATTCGTGAAATCATCAAGGAAGATCGACGACGGACCATTGAAGAAATTGTGGAAGTTTTGAAAAGATTGCGCAACAGTTTGCGGCGGAAGCGGCCAGATTTGTGGCAGTCTGGTGACTGGTTTTTCCATCATTACAATGCCCCTGCTCACACAGCCCTGTCTGTACGACAGTTCTTGACCAAAAATGGTATGACCCCTGTTCCTCACCCTCCATACTCACCCGACCTTGCCTCGTGCGACTTTTTTTTTGTTTCCTCGAATGAAACGGCAGAGGCACTGTCAAGCATCTCAAAAGATGAATTTAGACAATGTTTTGAAAAATGGAATAAAAGACTAGACAAGTGTATTAGTGTAAGTGGAGAGAACTTTGAAGGGGATTGAAGGTTTGTGCTTAAAATTTGAATAAACAAGTTTAAAAAAAAATAAGTTCAGTTTCTTTTGGGTAGCCCCTCGTATGTTGAAAAATGATGTTAATGTAA